AGGTCCCTAACAGCAGACTTTCCCATCGCGATACGCTTTTTGATTTCCTGACTGCTGGTACCAAGAGTGTTGACTGTGGAGCCAAGCAAACTGAAGCTCTGAACACTCTCAATCTCTTCATAATTGTGCTTTTTTCATTAGCATTTAAAAAATTTAAAGTAAATAAGGCTTTTTGTAAGAGAGTTCGGGGAGATGATATTCGTCCCATTGTATCTCCCCCCTTCTGTTTTTTCAACTTAGTTTGTAATGTTAAATTAGCCCTTTCTATTATAGCTTGTCCTTGGGGGTTATACGGAATACCAGTAATGTGATTAATGTTCCATTTTTTAAGAAACTCTTGTGTTTTCTTAGAATTATAAGCAGGAGCATTATCGGTTTTAATACCTGAGCAAATTCCCTTTCAGTACCTGGTGTCTGCTCGAAAAAGAGAAAGAAAGAGAAACCACCACCTTATCCAAAGAAAAACCACCACCTTGTCCCAAGTTCAGGCGCTAGAATGTTGCAGACTGAGGGTCCCAAAGAATAGAATAAATTTATAATAAAGAGACAAACAGCCAGGAATGATACAGAGCAGAGAGCGTGAAAAACAGGGGGCCAACAGTTCCCATGACTGAAGGCCTACAGCTAATAATTTTGAGCATCAGAGTTTCTAATGATTTTTGGCAGTAAAAATTCTGTTTTGTTAACTATCTCTTCACGTGCTTTGCCTTTAAAAAAAAAGAGGGATTTTTTTTATATTAAAAGTTTCATATGGGTCCTGAAAATTTACTCTGAACGTGCAGGTTGGGCTTCCCCTTGCTGACAGTCTTCTAATATATAGTATCACACTCATACTGCTTGATAAGGAGCACTTAACATTAAAAAAAGAAGATATAAAATCATCTCAGATGTTAAGCTAAAAGATGTGTATCTTGAGATGTTACTGCAATCAAAACAACTTTTAACTAGTAATTACAAAGCAGATTTTGAGCATTTTTACATCATAACTTAACAGGATGTTACTTTATTACTTACCAGTTATTTTTCTTAACCAGAATATAAAACTTCTTAGTGAGTTTCACTTAAAATTCACTGAGATATTTATATTTCAAATACATTAAAAAACTTTATTCATCTAAAATAATGAGAAATCTTAGGTTAATCAGTAAAGGATATCTACCTTAAGAATAACAGTCTTTTAAGATCTGTCTAAATGGGACCAAAATGACAACAGCAACTCCAAAGGTTTATTTACGTTATTGAAAGAAGAAAAACTTGGAAAAGGATAGTGAGTATGGTTGCACAACATAAAGAATATAATCAATGTCACTAAATTTTAAATGTAAAAACTTGAATTGGTATATGTTTCTGCCATGCAAATTAATGTATTTATTCTAAATAAGAATAAAATTTAAAAAATCAAGGGATCAAACTCTTATTACCAATAATAAGCAGTCACCATCACCATTTTGCTCCTGATGTAATGTGGTAAAAAAATATAGTAACTTCCACCAAAAATGATAACCTTAATATTTTGATGAATCACTGACAGTTCTATAACGTCTGGGGAACTTTACAAAGTAATGGATTTTGCTACTACTGTTACATGTCATGGAGTTATCTGCCACTGATACATACCCTATTAACAGATCTAAGTCTTGCCCTATCCTGTTCCATCCTCACCATCTCCAACGCACTTGAGCCCACTGTTACAGTTACCATCCTAATTTTTTTTTTTATTGGAAATATGCTTTATTTAAAATGGGCACTTTGGTGAAAACAAGCTGAGGCTTGCTATCAGCCCAAGTCTTTCTGTCCTAAACTGATCTTTCCAAGCACTTCTTCTCCAAAGACTAGCCACTCCTCATAAAATGTCCAAAGTATGAGACAGAGTTTCACCATTTTGGTTTCACTTTCTCCAAGATAGATCTGTTTGCCTTAGCAGTCCACAGGATACAATTCTGTATTCTTCTGCAACACAATGGGTGTCTTACAAAAAAGTCAGTTATTTAAAAAAAAAAAAAAAGTAATTAATAATCCTGAAAAACTGTTCCAGATTTAAGGAGTTGAAATAGTTATAACAAGTAAATTCAGTATGACTCTGGATCCAACAGCAGCGAAACCTTTTTTGTCTCATTACAAATTAAATTAGTGGCATAACTGGAAAAAGGAGGTTAATGTCTGTGGATTAACTGACAGTATTTTATTAGTATCACTGTCTTGATTTTTCTATCACTGTACTGGAATTACCAAGTAGAATATCCTTGTTTTTAGGAACAACATTCTACAGTATTGGGGGATTACTTGAGGATAAACATGCATGCTCACAACTTACTAATGTTTCAGGAAAATAGAATACGAACCTAGAAAAAAGACGACAAAAAGTATAAAACGTATTTAGGTAACCCAACTGTGGAATACGTGTGAATTTTTTTAGATCATTTTTCTGTAAGTCTGAAACATTTAAAAAATTGATGTTAAAATTTATAAATTAGTGTCATTACCAAAAAAATAAACTCCAAACAAAAAAAAAGTGTCATTACACTGTCGATACTTTAATTGTTATAAAAGTGAATGTGTATGAATGGTTAAATGAAAAACCAATTTGCTTTGTAAACTTCCAGCCAAATCAAAATTAAAAAGTTTTTAAGTAAAACACACAAATGATAACCAGGGTCCCATGTAGTACACTTTATTTTTAGGAGCATAATTATCAGGTAGTCCACTCCATGTTACAATAGCTTTGAAAATATATTCAGTTTGGACTAAAAAGTTACCTGATTACGATCCAGCAAGCTTCTTGCCATAAATCTGGGGTGATTTCATCATCATCCTCATCATATTGCATATCTGCAAAAACAAAAATCTGTTTTCATCTGAAATAAAATGCAACTAGTTAAGTCATGGAGAACAACATACTTAATTTTCACAATGGTAGTTATCTATCTAAATTTAAAAAGCAATTCTTTTACTATACTTTTCTACCCCTAATGACATTGCAAAAGTTCAATGTAAATTGATAAACTTCCCAGCGTGTCCAGAAAGTTCATGAATTCTCATCTGTAGCTTACCATAGGACAACTAGGAACAAACTCAAAATCCTCTCTTCAATAATTAAGCTCCTCAGAAGCCTGTGGGAGGCGAGTGTGCAGGTAAGAGTTAGAAAAAGATTCAAAGAGTTGAGTAGTCCTCCAAGGTAGGGAGGGTTATTACAGCCCCATTTCTAACATGGATAGGGATGGCAAATTTTACTTTCCAAGACTGTGTTATGGACTGAATTGTGTCCACCAAAAGATATGCTGAAGTCACTGTTCTTGTGGATGTAAACTGTATGGGGAAGTAAGGTCTTTCTCAGAAGGTGATGCTGTATGCTGCAGAGTTGGAACCTACTCATAATTGACCCTCCAGCAAGTTTTCAGCAATAAATCACACAGAAGATTCTCTCTTCCTCCTGCAGAATAGCTAGTGAATTTAAACTGTATGCCTTTCAGTTGGCAGTCAATTTCTTATGCAAGAGACTACCAGAGCTCCCTTCTCTGAAGATATTACCAGTTAAACCCTATCAAAATAATCTAACTCCTAACTGATATCCCTTCTAATGGCATTTTCTAAAGAAAGAACAAATGCAAAGATAGGGATTCACACAGAGGCAAAACTTACACAAGCAGTCAAAAGCATGCCATGGACTGCCAGCAGCCACTAGAAACTAGGGGAGAGGCATGGAAAGGCCTTCTCTAAAAGACCTCAGAAAAAACTGAGATGCTCGATATCCTGATTTGCACTTCTAGCCTCCATAACTTTTGAGAAAGTAACTTTCTGTTCTTTAAAGTCATCCATTTTGAGGCACTATTACAGTGAAAATAAACAATGATCATTAAAATAAATTGGAGCCTAAACCGACACAGTATATATAGCATGATACAGAGTTAAACAAAAAGTTAATTGTTTGAATCCACCAGCCATAACTTGGGAGAAAGATGAGCAGTTCCTGCTAAGATTTATAGCATCAGTATTTCAAAGCACGGCCATTATACGTAGAATCAATTCAGCAGTAGTAAATCTTGGTTTTGGTAAATTGTTATGGTACTATCAAGTAGATAACTGGGATAGGGGTGAGAGTGGGTTTGATAAAAAGCTTTCTACCTGTGTGCAAAACAGATCATGCAGAAAGCAGGGCTTTCTGAAGAGGAATGTGGCATCAAGACTCATCAACAACTTAAGATGACACAACCTTGCTTGCTGAAACTGAAGACCTAAAGCACTTGTTGCAGAAGGTAAAGGACTATAATCTTCAATATGGATTGAAGCTCAACATCAAGAAGACAAAGATTCTCACCACTGGGTCAATTGGCAGCACCATGATATATGGAGCAGAGATTGAGGTTGTTAACAATTACAGCTTGCTTGGCTCCACAATCAACACACTTGACATCAGCAGTCAGGAAATCGAAAGATGAATTGCACTAGGAAAATCTGCTGCCAGGGACCTCTCTAGAGTTCTGAAAAGCAACAATGTCAACCTAAGGACTAAGGTGTGCCTAATCCAGGTCATGGTCTTAGCAATTACTCGTTATGCTTCAGAAAACTGGACAATGACTAAGGATGACAAAACAAGAATGGATGCCTTCAAATTGTGGTGCTGGAGAATTTTGAACATACGGGATGTGTCCTATCTCCATACCTTTTAAACCTGTATACAGCACAGATTATCTGAGAGGCTGGGCTCTATGAGGAAAAGTGTGGCGTCAGGATTGGTGGAAGATCTATCAACAATCAGCGTTATGCAGATGACACAACCTTGTGCTTGCTAAAACTGAAGAAGACTTGAAGTGCTTGCTGCAGAGGGTCAAGGACTGCAGCCTTCAATATGGATTGAAGCTCAATATCAAGAAGACAAAGATTCTCACCACTGAACCAATTGGCAGCATCAGGATGGATAGTGAAGAGGTTGAGATTGTTAACAACTTTAGTCTGCTTGGCTCCACGGTCAACACTCTTGGGACCGACAGCCAGGAAATTAAAAGACATATTGCAATGGGGAAGTGTGCTGTCAGGGACCTCTCCAAAGTACTGAAGAGCAATGGTGTCACTCTGGAGACTAAGGTACATCTGATACATGCCATGGTCTTTGCAATCACTTGTTATGCATCAGAGAGTTGGTCAATGACTAGAAAGAGAATGCTGCTTTTGAGTTGTGGCACTTGATAAGAGTATCGAATATACCATGGACTGCTAAGCAAACAAACAGATTCATCCTAGAGAGGGTTAAATCGGGCTGCTCCTGAGATAAGGATTCTGGGGCTTCATCTGACATACTTTGTACATGTTATAAGGAGGGACTGGTCCTTAGAAAGGGACATCATGCTTGGGAGGGTGGAGGGATAGCACAGGAGGGGAAGACCCTCTATGAGGTGGATTGATTCCGTGACTGCGGTAATCCGGATGGGTGTGTTGGAGGCGGTGTGATTGGCACAGGATAGAGCAGGGTTTAGGGCTGTTGTACTAGGGTTGCTATGAGTCATAAGCTACTCGACGGCACATAACAACAACAACCATGAACTACCAAGAAAACAAATAGGTCTGTCTTGGAGAGGGTAAAACCAGGTTTCTCCTTGGAGGCTAGGATTTTGAAGCTGTATCACACACTTTGGGCACATGGCAGGAGAGACTGGTCCATCGAGGACATCATGCATAGAAGGGTGGAGGTACAGCACAGGAGAGGAAGACCCTGAATGAGATGGATTGATAGAGTAACGGGGGCAATGGAGGTTGGTGTGTGGGAATTAGTGACACTGGCTCAGGACAGGGAAGGGTTCAGAACTACCGTACAGAGGATCGCTGTGGGCTGACTCGACAGCACATTAATAATAACAACAACATGTACTAACAACAACAAAACTCCAGAAACTTATTAAAAAAAATAAAACTATAAAAAAATAGGGGAATGTTAGTTTTTGTCTGAAAAACAGACGGAGACACAAAACTCATTGCTGTTGACTTCAGACTCATGGACAGAAAATTGCACCACAGAATCTTATTTGAAAATGTACCTAAGGAATACTAGAACGGTAAGGAATGACACAGCTTCATCTCTCATACTTTGGACATGTTGCAAGGAGAAGCTATTCCTTGAAAAAGGATACATGCTATGGTGGTTTTTTGTTGTTGTTGTTGTATGCAGGTGACTTGGATAGACTGGCAGAAAAGGAGACTGACCCTCCTTCTCCAGCGGAGAACCTGGTGGATTCGAACTGCGCCTTCAAGACTACAGCACAGCTTCTTGCCACTAGGCCACCAGAGCTCCCTGTTGTTGTTGTTGTTATGTGCCGTCGAGTCGCTTGCGATTCATAGCAACCCTATGTACAACAGCCCTAAACTCTGTTCCGTCCTGTGTCAATCTCACCGTCTCCGACACACCCATCCCAATTACCCCAGTCACCAAATCAATCCACCTCCTAGAGGGCCTTCCCTTCCTACGCCTGCCCTCCTCCCTCCCAAGCATGATGTCCTTCTCCAAGGAATGGTCTATCCTTACAACATGACCAAAGTATGTCAGACAAAGCCTCAGAATCCTTGTCTCCAAGGAGCAGCCCGGTTTAACCCTCTCCAGGATGAATCTGTTTGTTTTCTTAGCAGTCCATGGTACACTCAATACTCTTCTCCAACATCAAAGCTCAAAGGCACCAATTTTCCTTCTATCCTCCTTAGTCAATGTCCAACTCTCTGATGCATAACAAGTGATAGCAAAGACCATGGCCTATATCAGACACACCTTAGTCTCCAGAGAGACACCGTTGCTCTTCAGTACTTTAGAGAGGTCCCTGACAGCTGACTCTCCCATCGCCATATGTCTTTTAATTTCCTGGCTGCTGATTGTGGAGCCAAGCGGACTAAAGCTGTGAACAATCTCAATCTCTTCACCATCCATCCTGATGCTGCCAACTGGTCCAGTGGTGAGAATCTTTGTCCTCTTGACATTGAGCCTCAGTCCATATTGAAGGCTGCAGTTCTTCACCCTCTGCAGCAAGCACTTCAGGTCCTCCTCAGTTTCAGCAAGCAAGGTTGTGTCAGCTCCCTAGCCTGTAATATACTGGAAAAGGCTATCATGCTTTGAAGGTTGAAGATCAGTGAAAGAGAGGAAGACCTCCATTGAAATGGACTGACACAATGACTACAACAATGGGCTCAAGTGTGTAAGAAATGGTAAAGATGATACAAGACAGGATGGGATTCAGGTCTACTATTCATAGAGCCCCTATGCGTTGTGCTCAATTCGAAGGCACCTAACAACAAGTGAGAACCTAAAAAGTGAGACTCCGTTTGTGGATAGGATGCAAAATGAACAAGTAGAACACATGCATGTGGACACTTTGATGTGAGTCAAGAGACTATAGTTAGTAAAAAATATTTTTAAAAGTCCACTCAAGTTTTTTAAATAAATTTTGAACGTTTACATTTAATTTTTTAAGTTTAAAAGTTTCTTTCAGGATTGTTTGTAAAAAATTAAAAGCATAAGGAAAACGCAGACACAATTTACGGATAAGATTCATTACAGAACTTTTAAACTTTCGTTTTTCTCCATAAAGTCGCTAAAAAAATGGTAAGAATAGGAACGAGAACAAAGCTAGAAATCGTAGTTGTGAGCAATATTTAAAAAAAAAACCTTAAAAAACACAACAAGAAAATATACTAAACAGGACTCAAAATGCTTTCAAGAAATTTATTTATGAAATAAATATATATTTATTTTAGTAGTACATGTACCATATAAAAACTAGGTCATCTTGTGATAAGAGTTAAGTTTAAAAGTCATTTAAAACAATTCCCTCAGCTGTAAGGCAGTCTGAAGTATACTATTGGCCCTTTCCCCCATTACATACTTCGTTAACACTGTAGTTGCACAGACTACAAGGATAGGCGACTCTCATAAATTAAATCAGTAAATCGATCAAGATCTTTGGGGAGGGGGGAAGAAAGGTGCCCTTTGCCCCAGATCAAGTCAATACCATAATTATCTTTACTTTTTTTGCAATATGGAGGGAAACACAAGCAATAACGGTATGGAAAATAGGCAGGGAGAGAGAACAACAGCCACTTGACTGTGATCATCAGTGTCATGTTACTTTCAGCCTCCACTGCTAGCAAGCCTGGCTTCGTTCTGCCTAACGAGTGAGGAAGACCACGATTGAGGACACCTGTGCGGCGGGTGGGAGTCGGCCAGCTTCCCAAACTTCTCTCCCTAAGTGGGTTATTGTAGAGGGAAATGTAGTGGTCACCCACCTTCGTCCGCGTCGTACATCTTGACGAACGGTTCCTGAGAGCCTCACTCTTACAAAGACCAAATAGATACGCAGCAGAAACCACCCCGGAAAAATAAAGCCGAGGCAGCTTCCGTTTCCGGTGTTTCCAGAATACTGTGCGTCTAAGGCCAAAGGCCGATGTCAGAACTGCGCTTGCGCAAACTGTGCCGCGCATCCGGAAAGGTTAGATTTTCGCACGTGTGCGACTTGTTTAAACTCTGGGAGTGATCGTAGAGTGGTGGGAGAGTACCTTCCATGCTTGAGGCCTACATTAATGTTGTTGCACGAAATTTCCTGAGAAGGTAAAAATACCCCCTTTTTTAAAGTTTTACTTTAAAGGGATTTTACGAATAAAGAAAAATACAGCCGTGTGTCTGACTCGCAATGTTTTATTTTCCACACTTAGGAGCCAGAATCGACTCGAAGCCTCTTTCCCGGATGGCGGGCCAGGTGAAGGATCGTGAGGCTTTTCAAAGGCTTAATTTCTTGTATCAGGCCGCCCACTGCGTCCTCGCACAGGACCCCGAGAACCAGGCGCTGGCGAGGTTTTACTGCCACACGGAGAGGACCATTGCGAAGCGGCTCGTCCTGCGGCGGGATCCTTCGGTGAAGAGGACCCTCTGTCGTGGCTGCTCTTCCCTCCTCATCCCGGGCCTGACCTGCACCCAGCGCCAGAGACGATGTAAGGGACAGCGCTGGACGGTACAGACCTGCTTAACGTGCCAGCGCAGCCAGCGGTTCCTCAATGATCCTAAACATCTGCTTTGGGGAGATCGCCCTGAAGCCCAGCTGGGGAGCCAAGCAGATCCCAAACCACCACAGCCCCAACCAAGCACAGCTCACTCCATTCCAGCCCAACTTCCTGAGGAAAAAGTGGAGCCTCAGAGCCCCAGTCGCCAGTGATCCATTCAGCCTGTGTGGAAAATAAAGTTGAATCTGGTTATACTAAAAAAAATAAAAATAAAAAAATCGACTCGAAGGCAATGGCTTTGGTTCAAACTTGGTTTCTTAAAAGTAGAATGAGCCAGCTATGTCTCGTTGAGAGAACTTGAAAATGAAAAATTCAACTAATTCCCTATGCTTTAGGCTGAATAGTTTGCTTCTGGTTTTGTTTTGGGTCTTTTTTTTTTTAACTTTATACACCTCCCACGTGAGTTTACTGTCGCTTTAAACGAGTTCCCAGACCGCCAAGCTTTCCAATCGCGAGAACTCACGGGATTTGGGCGGTTCCCAACCTCTCGACTCGGGATTACTGCGTGGCCCCGCCCCTCGCCGTGCCCGGGGCGGTCATGCTGCCTGCACGCCTAGCACAGGGCTTGCTACGCTTGTTTCGGCCCTCTGCTCCTGGAGTACCGCGCCATGGTCTCCGGGAGCCGCTGTTCGAGAAGAAATACGCGGCCGCCTTCTCCTTCCAGCACCCTTCGGGCCTGGGGCACGGATTTTCTCATGGCCCGAAGGCCACGGAGAACTATGGAGCTGACATGGAGGAGCAGTTTCTGTTTCCCGAATACGTAAGCGAGCCGGAACCTTCGCTGACCCCAGGAAAGCTGCTGGAGCAGCTACAACAGCAACAGGAGGAAGAGGAGCGACAGAGGCTACAGCGGCGGGAGGAACGTCGGCAGCAGAAGCTGCGGCTCAGCCGCCGGGTGCATCCAGTGGTGGGGCACCCGAACCCGGCAGTGCCTGCCAGCGGCGTGAACTGCTCGGGCTGCGGGGCGGAGCTGCACTGCCAGGACCCCAGCCTTCCCGGCTACCTGCCCAGCGAGAAGTTCCTCAGCGCCACGGCGCAGGCGGACGGCGGGCTGGCGCGGACCGTGTGCCAGCGCTGCTGGCTGCTCGTGCACCATCGGCGCGCCCTGCGCCTGCAGGTGAGCCGGGCGCAGTACCTGGAGCTGGTGAGCGCCGCGCTCCGGCGCCCGGGGCCCTCACTGGTGCTCTACATGGTGGACTTGCTGGACCTGCCCGACGCCTTGCTGCCCGATCTGCCCGCGCTGGTGGGCCCCAAACAACTGATCGTGCTGGGGAACAAGGTAGACCTGCTGCCCCAGGACTCTCCTGGCTACCGGCAGCGGCTGCGGGAGCGCCTCTGGAGCGACTGTGTCCGCGCCGGGCTCCTCCCGCCGGCCGGACGCAGAGAGTCCCAAGATCCCGGTGGAGACGGTCCTCGGGACAGAAAGGAGAACCCGAATCCGCCAGCCAAGCCTTGCACGGTACTCAGGGACGTGCGCCTGATAAGCGCCAAGACAGGCTTTGGGGTCGAAGAGTTGATCTCCGCGCTGCAGCGCTCCTGGCGCTACCGCGGCGACGTCTTCCTGGTGGGCGCCACCAACGCCGGCAAGTCCACTCTCTTCAATACTCTCCTGGAGTCGGACTACTGCATCGCCAAGGGCACCGAGGCCATCGACAGGGCCACCATCTCCCCCTGGCCAGGTGACCTTAGGAGACGGGCCCCTACAGCTTCTGGGAAGTTGGACTTCGGGTCGTTACTGCAGGCATCCTCTGTAACTTCCACCAGAGGGTGCCTGGAGAGCGTTGCGATTAATAATTGTCTCCCAGCTTTGAGTACAGAGTTCTGGTGACCTAGTGGGTAAGAAATGGCACTGCGAACCCAAAGGGTGGCAGTTTGAATCCGCCTACTTCTCCGGAGAAAGATGGTCTCCTCCAGTAAGATTTACTGGCTTTGAAAACCCCCTGGAAGGTCAGCTGGAAGTCTGCTCCCATTCAACAGCAATAAGCTTGAGGGAATTTTTATTTTAACTTAGCATACATCTGTTCTCCGAGTCAGTTTAGTACTTGGAGAATATGTATCGTGTGGTAAATAGAAGCATTTATGGAGCCTTTCTTGGTTCCGGTCACCATTCCAGGAACTGGAAACATACAAACGAACAAAACCCCCGAAGTTTCCCTTACAGCTTAGTTACTTCTCTGGAAGTCATGCTTCTCTTTACTCTTTGAACCTCCGCTTTTTTGTCTGAGCCTCCACCTTTCTGTCTCTCACACCTTTTTTTCCCTTTTTAAATCGGTGTGCATATGATTAAGGGAGAAGGATGGTCAGTCTCTTCCCGTGCAGTTTACTGTCTGAAAACCTGCTGGAGGGTCAGCTATGAGTTAGTTCCGACTCACATATTATTACTCATATACATTGTGTTTCATTCATATACGTAATGGGGACTTTATGTGTCTTTCACACTTTTCCTACATTGACATTATGCTTCATAAAATCGTTCCCATACATTTTGTTTTATAAAAGTAATCACCATTGGACTGTGCCCACCATTACCCTTTTCAGGTCCCCACCGGATCTTTCCCATTTTCTTTACCTGTTCCCTCCACCCACTAAATTGTGTGATCCTGTGATTTTCCCCACTACCCATCTTCACCCCACTCCTCCCACCCCACACCTTTCCATCTTAAGGTAGACTCTGTGCTATACACATTTCATATTGGAAAAATTCACTAATGCAGTGTGATGTGTCACTCTGTGTAGGATAAATGTTGGTTTTTGTGGCTGTAAGAAATTTCTGTAACCACAAACTAGTCCTTTATGGACCATTAGTGTTTAAACAAACTACAGTAGTGCTTCTGTGAGTAGAATCTTCCAGAAAGTTGTAAATTTGAATTTTTATTGTCTAATCATTCAGAAGCAGTCCTGAGAACAGATTAAGGATACACTGCCTGGTCCGAAATAAGGAAGGGAGTGTGTCAGCGATGCGTCCTATCCCCATACTTTTTCAATCTATGCAGAACAGATCATTCAGAAAGCAGGGCTTTATGAGGAGGAGGATGACATCAAGATTAGACGAAGACTCATTAACAGACTACGATACGCAGATAACACAACCTTGTTTGTTGAAACTGAAAAAGACCTGAAGCACTTGCAGCAAAAGGTCAAGGACTATAGTCTTCAATATGGACTGAAGCTTAACATCAAGAACATGATTCTCACTACTGGGCCAATTGGTAGCACCATGATAGATGGAGAAGAGATTGAGTTTGTTAGCAGTTACAGCCTGCTTGGCTCCATAATCAACACTCTTTAACACCAGCAGTCAGGAAATCAGAAGATGAATTGCCCTGGGAAAATCTGTTGTCATGACCTCTCCATAGCGCTGAAGAGCAACAATGTCAGTCTAGATACAAAGGTGTTCTTAATCCAGGCCGTGGTCTGCTCAATTATTTGTTATGCTTCAGAGAGTTGGGCAATGACTAAGGATGACAGAAGAATAGATGCCTTCAAGTTGTGGTGCTGGAGAAGAGTTTTGAACATATCCTGGACTGCTAAGAAAACAAATCTGTCTTGGACAGGCTGAAACCAAGTTTATCCTTGGAGGCTAAGATTTTGAAGCTCTGCCTCACTTACTTTGGGCGCATGGACTGATACAGGAACTGGGGCGGTGGGGGTTGGTTTGTCAGAATTAGACTAGCTCAGGACAGGGAAGGATTCAGAGCTGATGTATATAGGGTCACTATGCATCACAGGCAACTCATCCAATAACATTCTATGACGGGTTTAGAAGCAGGAGTGGCATCCACTTCCTAAATAACATGCCTCCAAAAACTCTATGAACTTTGATAAATATTGATAGTTGTAGAAGGGCTTCAGGCTTTTTGTTTATAGAGTTGCTATGAGTCATGCTTGACTCGAAGGCAGTCAACAACAGTCATTCAAAAGTATTGCCCCCATTGTTCCACTGAAACCAGCATTTAATTCTGTTTGACACTTTTCTTTCCCTGTCTTGAACATGGTTTGAATTATACAAGAAAGTGCTTTTATACCTTGTGAAAACAGAAAGTAATTAGACCTGCAGATTTAGGTTTAAATCCTGAGCCAAGTTTAGAAATAAGATTACTTTCAGATCTTTAAAATGGATATCATTTTTTAGAGGGTTGTCAAAAAAGGTTAAATGAAATAAATCAGAATATCCAACATAGTGTGATCACCTAGATAGCAAGTCTCTTTCAGTTGAGCACCATCCTGTAAAGGCAGTAGAACTGGCCTTTCCAAAGCTAGAAATCTTTACAATAGCTGGCGGGTTCAGATTTGCTGGCCTTGAGGTTAGCAGCCACATGTTTAAACCACTGAGTCACCAAATTCCCTTCAACACGGTGTAACTCAAAAAAATGTTAGTCTTCCCGCTTTCCATTTTGTGGTACAATGTGTTTGTTTTTTTCTTTTTTTAAGTACTCATTCTTTGGTTTTTCAGGTACTACATTAAACCTTCTTAAGTTTCCTATTTGCAACCCAACTCCTTATAGAATGTTTGCAAGGCAAAAGAGGCTTAAAAACGATGCAACGAAAGCTGAAGATGATCTTCCTGAGCAAGAACAAAATCAACTCAATTTCTTGAAAAAGCACAGTTATGTAGTAGGTAAGCATGCTTTGTTTTTTATTGGAAAACTGCTTTTCATTCTGTGCTTTTGTTGATTGTTGAGCAACCGGGAAGAGAGTTGTCTGGGGCAGTTTTTGCAAAGAACATAGTGGCCCTTCAGATATAAAGCTACAAGGGGGTCAGTGTGCTGGGAATATGGAGACCATAGTTACTTGGAGAAGTCCTGGTAAAGAAAAGTTGCTGCCCACTTAGCCATTATCAACTGTAGAAACATTTCCCCCAGATACACTGTCTTCCTGCAGCCAGTTGTTATGTGCCGTGAAGTGACTCATAGCGACCCTGTGTACAAAAGCCCTGAAACCTCCTCTGTCCTCTGCTAACTTTACTATCTCATATACACCTACCCTCATTACCCCAGTCTGATTCAGTCCCTCTCATTGATGGTCATCTTCTCTTTCTCTGTCCTCCACCCTTCCAAGTGAGATGTCCCTCTCCAAAGACTGGTCCTTGCTTGCAACATGCCCAAAGTATGTCAGATGAGGCCTCAGAATCCTTGACTCTTAAGAAGGAGCCAGGTGGTGGAGTTGTTGACTCCACACAACAGCATTAAGTTAATCTACCCTCCCATTCTTGGTATCTATTTTCAACCTTTTTTTTTTTCTAAAAACAGTTTTATTTTCAAAACCTCTCTCTCTCCCAGCCCTGTACACACTTGATCTTGTTGTCACACACTTGATCTTTACAACAGTGTATCTTTCAAATGAAAAGCAAAGGTAACATCATAGTCTCATTTCCATATACTTTAGCATATGGAAACAAAATACTAGAGGCTAACCTCAAAATTAGCTGTCTGATTTGTTTGAGACAAACAAAAAGTAGCTGTTTGGGGCAAACATAAAAATTAGTTCTCTAGGATGACAGGCATTAAAGAAGTGATGATAACGTCAGTACATCTTGTTTCAGGAAGAGTTGGAAGAACATTCTTGTATTCAAAAGAACAGAAGGATGACACCACCTTAGAGTTTGATGCTGATTCACTTGCCTTTGACATGGAAAAGGAGCCCGACATGGTTGTAGACAAATCCATCAGACGAGTCGAATTGACACCAGAAGATGTAAAAGATGCACATTGGTTTTATGATACCCCTGGAATTACAAAAGAAAACTGTGTATGTATTTGGTGTCTTTTAGAAATAGTAGGTTAGTTAACACGAGTATTAAACGGCAGGAGACAGAAACGCGGTTATACTTGCACCTTAGACTCAGTTACAGTTCATGCACAGACAGTTCAGGCATGACTCAAGTTCCGTCTTCTCGTTCAGCAGGCATCACTGCTGACAACTTACCAGGATAATTACGGGTGTTATAATTGGGAGATACTTAAAGATTTAAGGCTGAAAGAAGCCTTAAAATACCACTTCATTCCAGTCATCTCATCAGTGCTTGAATTTACCTTTATAAAATATCCCTTAAAGAGTCATTTATCCAGAACTGAAGGAGTGACCCTTCAGCTGGGGAGCTCTGGTGCTGTATTCCATGTGGAGTTGTGCTCCTGGCCAGTGGCCACGCCGCATGCATCCACCAGCCAGTGTGCTGAAGAAGGATGGGCACTTCCCTCCTTGTGATTTGCAGCCTCAGAAAACCCATTGGGGGGTCAGCTATCAGTTGGTTCTGATGCAACAATGAGTGGAGTTCTTCCGCTAAAGCACTATCACATCTCTGACCTGCTCTGTCATTGAGGTGAACTAAACAGTCCTTGTAACCTGAACGCATTTTCCTCTGAGCTGTGGGGAAACCAGTCTAATGACTATTTCCCATGCAAAACTTTGAAGTATTTCAAGTGCAGTCCTATCTCTTCCTAACTCTGTCCTATCCTCCTCTTTGATTTTGTTAGTCTGGCTGAAACACTAAATATACACTGACTAAATGCACATTTCTCATCATTTCCTACAGCTCTTCAGAGAGAAGGGTTCCAAGCCATTTATGATCCCAAGTCTCTTTTCCAAATGATTTCTAATTTCTAAATTTCTTCCACAAGAACCTCCAGATGAGTATAATTTAGAATAGGATTTAACTCCACTTTCCTGCCCTTAAGCTGCCCCCCCATCTTACTGTGGTTTAAGTGAAAGTTTAAGAAAGTAAATTAATTTTCCATTGAACAATTTATATATATTTGTTTTATAATGTTAGTTGCAGTTCTCTCAATATGATAACTTTTCTCACTTCCTCCTGAGATTCTTCCTATCCATCCAATCTTAATTTTGTTTTGGAGCAGATGTTGCCCTTTTGGAGTTCTGATGGCAAAGTCCATAGGGAGTTGCCTTGCCAATATATATGTAGTTGTTGTTGTTGTTATGTACCATACAGTTGGAACCAACCCATAGCTGACCCACCAGCAGGTTTTCAGAGGTAGGTAGTTGCACAGGAGGAGATTGCCCATCTTTCTCCCGAGGAGCAGCTGGTAGAGTCCAACTGAGTGCCTTCAGGATTGCAACAGGATTGCTTCTTGCTGCCAGGCTACCAGTGCTCCCTGCCTTTATATGTAGTTGCCTTAATTGGCAGAAAGGAAGAAACTTTGTAACACTGTTAAAAGAACTGTGTTAGGGAAATGCAATTCAGATTGACAGAAGCATACAGTTCTATCCACACAGCTTCTTCATTGTTCACAGGACCTTTGACTTTCAGCTTTATGGCTTCGGCGTCTTTCCTCAGTCCTCCAGCAAGCTTGGGTGAAGGCGTATGGCTGTGATTCTGTGGGGCACAGTCCTAAGCCCACCCTGTTGCATGTTGGTCTCTGCTAAGGCTGCTGCTTCTCTTGTGTAGATGCCAGTCTGACTGATGCAGGAGTCGCTGGCCCCAAAGCACATGCCCTGCACTCCCGGTTTCCACCTCCTTGCTGGTAGTGAGATGCCCACCCTTCTTGCTAAATCTGTACAATTTAACTTAACCAGGTGGGGAAAACGGACCAATTTCATAATTACTTTACACTCACCCTATTTGTCCCACTTATATGATCAAGAGTCAATGGCTAGGAAAACCATTTGGAACAACAAACCCTTGACAAAACAATTGTTTCACCAATTCCTTGTTAAACTTTTAACAGAATATTCTGTTGTATGTATGTGCTGTGATTTATTTATCCACCCACCCATTGATGGGCACTCAGGTTGTTTCCATCATTTTTCCATTGGAAATAATGCTGCGGTGCATGTGGAGGTCCTTACATCTGTTCATGTCGTGGCTATTCTATCTCTAGGATATATACCAATTAGTGGGATTGCTGCATTTCTGAGTTTTAAAGTAAGTGCCCTTTTCCAGTCCCCCTGCATTAGGAGAGTTCCAGTCTCTGCACACCCTCCTCACCAGCCTTTACTACATTCTATCCTTTGACATCTAGTTGGCAGAATTTTGGGCAACTTATTAAATTTAGCCAGTATCCTTTTCTTCTCATTTACTCACAGTCTTGTCATTCGTATGCTGACTTCATCCAGTTCTTGATTTATTCAGTTGTGCATTGAGGATGTAGCCTTGCAGCATTAATTAAACATTAACCAGCATCCTTTGAATCTGGTTACTGGCAGTTTCTGACTCATCTAGTTATCTCTCTGGAAATCTTAAACCATGATTTCTTGTGCACTTTTCCTTCCTTTGCAGCATGAGGATTACTTCCAATTTCAGTCTCAGAATTTTACTCTAGCTAGTGCCCTGAGTCACATAATCACATAGATCTTTCACTTCTCTTTGCCTTCCTAGAAGAATTGTTAAGTAGTCTAGGTGATGCAAATAGTTAAGCACTCAACCTCTAGCCTCTGCTAACCAAATAGTAGTTCAGACCAACCCTGTTGAGTAGTTCTGGTCTGCATACAAGGCATCAGCTGAATAGCAGCTAACAACAGTAATAAGAATGATTTGTACCCAGTCTTTGATTCCCTAACAATCTGTAACACAGTGTAACTGGCCTACTTTCCAGTAATGATCTCTCACTTTACTCATTCTTCCTATTCAGACCTGATTAGGTCTGGGACAACTTTTATGTTAGTAGCTCATATGGAATAGATCAGAGAAGCAAGAATCTGTAGAATATTTTTGCCAGCAGCATGAGGCCCTCAAATTTTTAGCTATAAAATGTCTCCCAAAAAATGGTTCCTGTGCCATCTGAGACTGTAAACCAAGGCTTCTCAAACTAACTGCTATGAAATGGAAGCATTAGGTCCTCATCTGAAAAGGATTACCAGGATCTTTTCTCATGTTTTACTTTGGCCTAGTGGCAAGAAGCGGTGGTGCAATCCCAAAAGCCTGTGGTTTGAGGCTGCCAGCTGCTCTGAGAGAAGAATGGGCATTCTCCTCCCATGCAGTTAACTGCCTCTGAGACCCCACTGGAGTCATTTCCAACTCTACAGTACACAGCAACAACTTTCATTTTAACCAGATTGAGTTAGGCACTTCCTAGTTTTCCTTTTCTGATTTTCTCTAGTCCATCTAAAAACTTGTCATCCTTGAAAGCCAAAGAGTGCTGAATTTTCAATTATTTGATGGTGTGGAGATGGGGAAAGTGTGGAAATTTAAAGGAAATTAAAAATCATTCCCTAGAAAGACTTGTCAGGCTTTTTACCTGCTCCTTGAGTTTTTGTTGGTGGTTTTTTGTTTGTTTTGGGGTGTTTTTTTAATTTATTTTTACTACTGGAACACAAGATACCTTAATTTCTTATCTTAAGCTGAAAATCATTACTCCTTAGAAGCTTTGAGGGAGAGAACATATTTTCTAATTTGCAGTTAAATCAGCAATGTTTTGGAGTTTATGCTGATGTTGACATTCTAGAATGGGTTTGCTGGTAACAATGGTCGGTCTCCCACACTTAAAAATTTATTTGCCTTTATTCATATTTAAGTTGTAAAAATACTGAGTAGGACTATCAGTAAGTTGGGCTTAATTTAGACAGAAAACATTGTATATAAAATTTATAGCAAATTTTAGCATTTTGTTTAACTGCATATTCTGAAATAATCACTTTTTATCGTGTAATATATCTACATTAAAAGTAATTCTCTAAAACTCTTTTTCTGCTTCACAGATTTTAAGTCTTCTAACTGAAAAAGAAGTAGAGGTTGTTTTGCCAAAACATGCCATTGTTCCAAGAACTTTTATTCTCAAACAAGGAATGGTTCTCTTTTTGGGTGCTATAGGCCGGATAGATTTTGTCCAGGTAAGGAAAGTCTGTACCGTGTAAAAAAAAAAGACTAGGGTCTGAGATTCTCTAAGAATTCCTGGGAAAAAACAAGGGGAAAGGGCTAAGGAAGCAGTTGATCAAAACCAGCCAAATGTGGAGTACTATGTGGAGGTTTGAGACACAATTCTTTTTGCATATTCAAAAGAAATCCCCATAAGAAAACAGAAGGAGAAAGAAATGCTCCCCCTGTCCCAAATAAAGGGACAAGGCCTTAAAAACCTCTTCAATGGGATCTTAAATGTCCCCATAAAGCTTCATATTCAGGATACAATAACACTGTCCCTCTCCTGTGGTATAATTTCATATGGAAATCATATGCCATACCTTCAGATAGCAGGGTGGATATGTGTTAAGTAAGTTCCAGACTTTCATGAATCATCATGTATATGCTTTTCTGAAGGGATCTCTGCTGGCTCAGTGATAAGAAAACTAACAATGCAACAGTTCGTAGTTCAAATCCACCAGCAGCTCCTCCATTGAAAAATGGGCAGTCCCCTCCTGTTTGTTTTCCTGCTTTTGAAAACTCACTGGAGGATCAATAATGGTCATTTCTGACTTAACGATACAGCACTACATGCTTTCATATATAGATGGGTTTTATTTGGCATTCATGTGCATCTCATCATTCAGAAAAAGTAGGTGATCTGTTGAATTATTCCACGTTTTAATATTATGTTGTTTGCCGTCGAGTCAGTACCAATTCATGGCTGACCTTCCAGCAGGTTTTCAGAGGCTGTAAATCAGAGGAAGGGAAATGAAACATGGATGCATACAACAATAGTGAATGCAGCCTGCACACCATCACAGCTAACATGCCATTGCAGGGGCACACTTCTTGTATTTTAAATTCATGTTGTTGTTGTTGGATGCTGCCAACTTTGCTATGACTCAGTGACCCTGCGAACAACAAATAGGAATTTCACCCTTACCTGAACCCTCATCACAGTCACCATTATGCTCAGGCCCTTTGGGGCTTAAATTCATAGCTTACTAAAAATTAGTGTCGTACTTAAAACCTTTATATAGTTCACTAAAGTCCACAGAATATCAATTTTTACATAGAAGTAATTAGAAGAGACAGTATTTCCTCTTTGTTTTTAGTAGTAGAAATATTACTTGGATTTAAAAAAAAAGTCTAAAAGCTGTGGAAACAATCTTAGTTTTCCATGGATTTCACAAGTGCAATTTCTATTTTGTGCCTTTTATTCAGGTATTAATATCACTTTTTTACAGCTGCTATTTCAAGAGTAGAATATATAATGGGGCTTGATTATTTTTTTTTTTAATTGACTATCACGTTCTGGTTTTGAAAGATATTGTTATGTAAAATGTTTGTTGTTGTTATGTGCCGTTGAGTTGCTTACAACTCATAGTGACCCTATGTACAACAGCCCTAAACTCTGCTCTGTCCTGTGCCAATCGCACTGTCTCTGATACATGCATCCCAATTACCCCAGTCACTGAATCAGTCCACCTCATAGAGGGCCTTCCCCTCCTGCACTGTCCCTCCACCCTCCCAAGCATGATGTCCCTCTCCAAGGACCCGTCTCTCCTTACAACATGTCCAAAGTATGTTAAACGGAGGCTCAGAATCCTTGCCTCCAAGGAGCCGCCCGGTTTGACCCTTTCCAGGATGTAAAGTGTAAAATGTATGTTTGTTATTTCTTCCATTCTGCAGGGAAATCACTCGGCTTGGTTTACAGTTGTGGCTTCCAACTTCCTTCCTGTGCACATTACCTCCTTGGACAGGGCAGATGCTCTGTACCAGAAGCATGCAGGTCATACCTTATTACATGTAAGTGACGTATTTGACAGTCACAGATCAGTATAGGTAGCATAATGGAGTAGTCTCATAACCCTACAAGGGAACTTTTGTTAGACAGAGTGTACTATCTTACCAGCTCCTCCTGCCCCTAATAAGGAAATCGAATTGCACTGATAGCTGCAGAGCTGTGAGCTCAATAGAGTAACCATTAGTCACATAATACCGTTTCAGTTTAAATAAGTTGATTAAAATTTAGTTCCTTAGTCACATTAACTACATTTTAAGTGTCCAATAGTCATATCACTGCAGAAAATTCCATTGGACAATGTTGCTTGTATGGCATAAAGAGATGCTGCAGATTTTGTTACAACTGTTAAGATTTAGGTTACAGCTCACATCTAGTGAATAGGGGCCAGAGATGCTTTTAAATATCTTACAGTTCACAATATAACCCCCTAACAGCAAAGAATTCTTGCTAAATATGGCAGTAGTACAGCAGTAGAGACATCTTTTCAAAATATAAAGCAGGTAATTTTAAAAAAAAATTTATCTCTCTCTGACTTTTTCATTGGTAGTTCCACGTTACTCACAGAAGTCTAAACTATAGTTCCCTGAACTTACCATCCCTTTTCCAGCTTTTGTGTCTATACATCTTGTAACTCTCTGCTCAGAATACCTTTCTACAAAGTAACTATGGCCCATTTCTCAAAATGCTTCCCAGATAATAGTTTTCCACTTAACTTGCCCTTGATGAAAACACCCCTTTTGCTGAAACTATCGTACTTTATAGATGCCTCTCTTACCTCATTTCTCACCTCATATTTGTTTACATGTCATTTCCTTCATCTGAACTTAAGAGCAGGGACCACATTGTAGCATTTGTGTGCCCTCAGGCCCTCCACAGGACCTGGCTTGGAGTATGAACTTCAAGAATGAACAGACACACTTACTATTATCTGGTTCCTTTCAATTCACGGACATTTCTGGAAATAGAGAAGCTGAATCTTCTCCATTATACATGTACCTATGGCTTTTTATAAGGTTGAAATTAATCTTCACGTCCAGGACTCTAGCAAATGCGGTATTAATTGCCCAACATTCCTACTCTATGTTGGAGGGCTATATAAACAGTATGAAAAAACACCATTCTCCTGTACAGAGAGGTTACTACCATACGCCTGCCCAAAATGTGTCCTTTGGCACCAAGATTTGTATTTTCGTCACAAGCACAGAGCTCCCATGCTTTGCATTTGACCCTGAAAGTGATTTGACAGTTTTTCAACAACAGAAAGTCAAAAAGGATTTTATTCTTGATCCATTTATCAAAATGTCTTGGCAATGATTTATCCAATATTAGAGTTAACTGGAGATTTCATTTCAACTTCCACACATCTTCATTTATTCCAATGGAAGGTTCCATTGGGTGGGAAAGAGCGAATGGCAGAATTCCCTCCTCTTGTTGCTGAAGACATTACATTAGAAGAAGGACTTGAGGAATTGGAAGCTGTAGCTGACATCAAGTTTTCCTCTGCAGGTAAGTTTACACCCGGCACATTCTCAAAATGTCTATGGGAATTATGGTTTTGGCGGGGGGGGGGGCTCCCCAGACGGAGCAGAGCCTCCTTTTGTGATTTGAGAACATTTCCTAACCCCATTTTGTGTTCTTTTGCCTGCCTGTGTAGGTTGGGTCTCAGTAACACCTCAGTTTAAAGACAGACTGCATCTCCGAGGCTACACACCTCAGGGAACAGCTCTGACAGTCCGACCCCCTCTCTTACCACATATTGTGAACATCAAAGGAAAGCGCATCAAGAAAAGTGTGGCCTATAAAACCAAGAAGCCTCCTTCCCTTGTATACAATCTGCAGAAGAAAAACAGATAAATGTTTGAGACTGACCTTGTTCATACAACGACTACAGACATTGATTAAAATAAAAATTATAATAAAGCCCTTCTTCCCAACATTTTTAGAGATCTTAGTGGCTGGCCTTTTAAAATTACTTGAACTTCTTCTGTTTGTAAAGCATTGAGGTTTTAAATGCATAGTATTTTCTGTAGGATGTCTTTGTAATAGGCCAGTGATCCAAATATATCTACAAAAGATACCTGCTACATCCACATGTCTTCCACTATTTTTTTTTTCCTGAAATCAGTTGCATTCCCCCCTCCACACATTTGAATTCTATTGTTCACAGGGCATTTTAGCAATTGGCATATATAGGGAAATGAGTAACCTGGCAGATTAATTTCTCCAAAATATATTGGACTGAATGAAATGAATATATTTGGCTCTCCTTATATAATTGTCCAAGGATCTAATTAATAGAACATAACACTCATGAACTCATAGAACATCACATGAGTTTAACGTGGTTTCCAAACAGGAAAGGAAACATCTTTGGCTTCTATAGTTTAGGAAAGGGGGGGGGGAGGGGAGATGAGGTTAACACATAGCACTTAATGTCATGTAGCTCAGTGGTCAGTCACTTGACCACACCCACACAAGAAAATGGGAGCCGTTTCAGACCTTTATTAAGCAAGATACTGGAAAAGGTGCACTGTCTTAATTCTCTTTTCTCCTATAACCAAAATGCCACAAGTAAATGGCCTTCTTAACACATTTGTTCTCACCGTCTAGGAGGCTAGAAGCCTAAACTCATGGTGCCACCTCTAGGAGCATGATTTCGCTGTTGACTGGCAGAGGTCCTTGTCTCCTCTGAATGTGGGTCAGTCCATGACATCTATCTTGTTGTGTACTGTAGTCTGAACTAACCCACAGCTGACCATCTGGCGGGTTTTCAGAGGCAGTTATTACCACAGGAGGAGACTGCCCATCCTTCTCCCACAGAGCAGCTGGTGGCCACAAACCATGTCTTGCGTTCCCCAGCAGTCCTGTGGATCTGTCTTGCTTCAACAATGTTTGAATAGAACAGACTCTGTGACCCCTCACCTCCAGCCTCCAACCACCCTCCAACTTCATCTCTAGGTGTAACCCCGGAAACATCTTCTTAGCCATCTCTTATTTTCAGGACCAGCTAACACCGGTTTTCTGTTAGCCCCAAATTCTCAACCATGAGCTCTCCGATCCATCAGAATTACTCTGCCAAAGCAGAGGCCGGCATCAACCATCTGGTAACTTGCACCTGTGGGCCGCTTACACCTACTTCTCTCTGGATTTTTATTTAGACCACAAAGATGTGGCCTTGGGAGGCATGGGACGCTTCTTCAGAGAGTTGGTGAAGGAGAAGCATGAGGGTGCTAAGTGTCTCTTGAAGCTACGAAAGGTAGTGCAGAGACCGTATCCTCTTCCAAGATAGGCAGAAGCCATCCCAGGATGAGTGGGGTAAAACCCTGGACCCCATGGAAACAAGACTAGCCTTGGAGAAGAACCTGAACCAGGCACTTCTAGATCTGCATGCTGTGGGTTCTGCCCACACTGACCCCCATCTCTGTAACTTTCTGGAGAACACACTTCCTGGATGAGGAAGTGAAACTACTGAAGAAGTTGGGTGACCATCTGACCAACATTAGAAGACTGGTGGCTGCTGGGCTGGGCAAGTATCTTATCCACCCAGAAGCCCCTAGCCCAAGCCTTGGACAAAATGGAACAATAAAGCTTTTTCAGCTGCTAAAAAATCCCCCAAACAACTGCATGCCTTTGGGATTGCAGCACAGCTTCTTGCCACAATGCCACCAGAGCTTCCCACCTTAAACAATTCAGAAATGCCTTATTAGATAGGAAACTCAAGCCATGTGTGTGTGTATGGTTTTTTTTTTTGGGGGGGGGGTTGCCAATAACTGAAAAACATTTTAACCACTGTTTACATTTTCATGTTGGACTTGGTGTAATGTTTACTGTGGTTAAATGCATTAGTCTGAGGTCTACCTGTTGATATCCCTAGGTGAGTAGGTAGTACTTCAGCTGCTTACAGTGCATAATTGCCATGTCAAGTCCTACAGTGTTGAAATATACACTAGGGGGATAGGCTGGGTGGGAATGCAGTCAGATTCATGAATTTCCTGTAGACTGACCTTTATGATAAATGTCTTAATAGAGAGGCTCTGCCAGTGTGTGGCTTGTCATGTGGAAGCCCCTATATCACAGTTTCCTGCCTTCTGCTATTCCTCTCAATAACTCATTAGAATAAAGGGAAACATTTCTTGAGATGCAAAATACAACTTTGTAGTTTGTCAGAATGAATTTTGTTGGTATCTTGGGGAAAATGGACTTTTTTCCAATAAAACTTTGCTTGCCATCTCTGGTCCCTAGACACTCCCAATAGCAACTGCCTGTCCCCCTTCCACTGTTGTTAAGTGCCGTCTAGTCACAGGCAACTCATAGCGACCCTATGAAGGAGAGTCCTCAATGCTTGGGTGTCTCTCTTTCTCTCTCCAGGTTCATAGGGTTTCCAGAGGCAAGCGATTACAGAAGTGGATGTCACTCCTCCTTCCAAGCTTGTTTTAATCGGGGAGCTCCACCCCACTCTCTGTCCGCATTGGGTAACCAGCAGTTAACGCATTTGACACATCAGTGTCACAGTGTTCAGCCTCACGGCAGCTTGCACACCAGGGCTATACGACCTAGAGGAATGTCTGAACAAAAACAATGCAAGACAGGCCCGAGGGCCGCCGATTAAAAGTCACCCACCTTCGGCTTGGTAGCATCGCTTTCTGTCCACTGGGCCAGCTGATCTCTCTCTCCCCTTCCAATACTCATTGCAGAAAATAGTTAATGGCTTTTTAGAGGATTCTGAAGCTTTGTCTGACCTACTTTGAACATATTGCAAGGCGGGACCAGTGCTTGGAGAGTGCAAGAGAGGAAGACCCTCGATGAGTTAGATTGATTCAGTGACTAGGGTAATGGGGGTAAATGAGTCAGAGACAGTAAGATTGGCACAGGAGCAGGGTTTAGGGCTTTTATGTGTAGGGTCGCTATGAGTCGCAGGCAACTTATAGCACATAACATCTTAAGGTAGTTAAAATGAATAAAACAATGAAAACATTTAATAATTGGCATATGGAATGCACATAGCTTGAATGTTGGAAAACTGGGAATTGTTAAAAATGAAATGGAAAGCATGAACACCAACATAAAAGGCATTAGTGAGCTGAGAAGGACCAGGTTTGGCCAATTTGGATCAAATAATCATATGGTATATTACCCTGTGAAACAAACAAACAAAGAAAACCTAAACAACAAAAAAAGAATGGTTTTGTGTTCATAATTAAAAAGTCCATTTCAAGTTCTACCCTTCAATACAATGTTGTGAGTGATAGGATAATATCCATATACACCCATGAAAGACCATTAACATGACTTTCAAACGTATGTCCTTACATCTAGAGCCAGAGAGAGAACTTGAGAATTTTTACCAAATCTTGCAGTCTGAAATTGAGCATACAGGCAATGATGTGTTATTGATAATTGGTGACTAGAATGCAAAAGTTGCAAACAGTAAAGAATGAATAGTCGTTTGAAAATACAAGCATGGAGATAGAAATGTGGCTGGAAATAGGATAATCAAATTTTGTATTTTCAATGATTTATTCATTGCAAGTATCTTTTTTAAAAGACATAAGTGTCTGCTTTGCACATGGATCTCACCTGATGAGCTGTATAGGAATCAGATTTCATAGGAATCTATATTTGTAGAAAAAATATTATTGGAGATGTGCAATACAATGTCATAACTCATATTTAAATTGTCAAAGAAAGAGAAATGACTCCTGGGGAAAAAAAAAGCTGACACAATCATTACCTTGACAACTAAGAAATAAAAGTATTTTAGAAAGAAAAATATTCTCTCTTCACATGCACTCCAAATTTTGGGGCCTCTTGACTAGCAAAGATTTCCTTTTTAAATATTCACAGTTCATATTAGGGAGCTCTAGTGGCCTAGTGTATTGTGCTGCAATCCCAAAGGCATGTGGTTCAAATCCACCAGCTGCTCCACCAAAGAAGGATGGGCAGTCGTGGCACACAACAAGAACAACAAAACAGATCTCTTACCTCTAAAATTTGACTTAAACTTCCCTTGAGCTGTCCTGAGGTATAGTGTTTCAAATGGTTCAAGTTACTCTTCTTAGCTCCCTTAATTATATTTATGTCTTTGGGCCTTGATTTTTCTCATCTGTGAAATTAGAGAAGTACACTAATTTACACGGAATGGTTCTGGGTTCTGATTTTTATGATCCTGACTTAAAAACTGGCAAGAAAGCAAGCCAGGGGAGGATTACAGTGACTCAGAAAAGATGCCCTTGCTACAACTTGGGGTTAACTTACTCCATGTTCTTCCAAGCAAATGCAGCCAGACTGTGTTTCACAATGATGGATTTTCCTTTAAGAGAGTTGTTGCTGTTTTTCATTTTTCAACTTTCACTGGTGTATTGATACCTCTTAATCTATTAATATGAGTATGAAGACCTCCCTTGAGTCAGTATTCGTTCACACCACAGTGAGCTGCGGGAGTTAGTGGGCCCTTTAATGGCAGAATGTCAGGCCATCTCCTGACTTCCACAGAACAAACAGGTGGTTTTGAAAGCAGCTAAGCAAGTTTATACTAGACTGATTGCTCATCGGTCTGTGCAGCCTTCTGTTATGTGTGTTACCTCTTTTATGTTTGAGACACTCAGAGGAAGTGAAACGTGCCATCAAAGGCTCTGTGGCTCCTCGTAACATCAGGCTCAAAGTTGCATTTTTAAAAAGTGACATTTAGAAGTAACCTCTGCTTTTCAACTGCTTGTAAAACTAGTTTAACAGTATCTTCATCAAATTCACTGACACACAAACTCAGGTTTGAGCTTAAGCACCGTAAATGCTGAGCCTTGCCAGGGCTTTTCTGTGTAGTTCCCCGTGTCTGAATTTGTGTATGTTAGTTGTGA